CCTTCGTAGCCAGTATTTCTATTTTAGTGTTTGTTTTGCTATTTGTGCTGTTCGCGTACGGCTGCAATTGCCGTCTTGAATTAATCTTTGTAGAGCGGATATTCACTCAGCTGGAAGTGATGCTTCACGGGCAGAGAAATCGCTTTTCGATCAACTTGGATGCAGTCAAGGCCGCGACTTGCGGCAGGGGTTAAGTGCACGGAACTACGCCGTTGCGAGCTCGAAAACTTCTAGCGCTCATCCCAGCGCGCCACTTGGAGGGCAGTTTCTACAGGAACCGTAGCATATTTAAACAGTAAAATAAAGGATAGCGTTTTTCTTTTCGATTTTACGTTTTTATTTTTTTTTTTATTTTGCTAAACTTCAATTTTAAATATACGTACTTTCCGTCATAATTTCGTACTGTTCAGTCTTTTAACCAGAGCGAAATCGCTCTCGGGGACCGACAGTCTCATTGGCCACTGTACGATAGGAGCTTACCGTTCAGACAAGCGTTCCAACATGACTATCCACACGTCGATCGACTGCACCTAATCCTTCAAGTGGTCTTAAACTGTTTAATGTAAAGCGGAATGTCATCCTGCGACACCCCGCCCCTCCGATCACGGCCCGACCAACGGCATCAATGCCCGACAGTTTACGTCATCTCATCTTGTTGTTACACCACTGATACGCGAACACACGGTCACATCGGCGATAATTCCAGTCTTCTGTTCACAACCCACAACACTGCCATCACGATGTTGCTGACACGCAGAAATACAGAACCACGTAGACGATGTTGCTGACACGCAGAAATACAGAATCACGTTGAACGCCGGTTGGCACTCGGCACGGGACAACAGAACCGAACTCAGCACGGAAGGCACCCAGGCAGCCGGCAGGAAAACCTGCCTGCCTTGGACGCAGTTCCTGCGATTTCCATAACGTCGAAAACATCGACACAGTTCCTCGTGGTTTCGCTTCTGTAGAGACTGTAGACTGTAGTTCCGCGTGTGTCCCGCAAATCGGAGACGGCCGTCTTACCCAGTGTATGTAGCGCTGCTGGCACTGCTCCGGAACTTCACTGTTTCTAGCGGCTTCGTTTACTGGTTTGATAAAATTAGTGGTAAAAACGTCAATGTAACCGAAATGTTCTGCACGTTTGTACTAGAAGACAGACGTACAGGCGGCCTTCGCCTGCCGCTGAAGCTCAATCAACTCAACATTAATTTATTAAACAACGTGCGCGATGTCCTCGAAAAACGAAACCGAAAGAAGATGAGTCGGGAGGGCGAAAGCTTTCTCTCGTCTGCCTGGAGAAGGAGGAAAACGTCTCGTTCCTCCCTTCTTCTCGTGTCCGCTTGGGGGCGCATCAGTAGAAGGGAGGAAGACGCGCCGTTGCTACCTTTTTCCTCCATTTTTTCTTGGAGTGCAACGTCAACAGCGCAACATCATGGTGTTTGTAATGTTTCTGTACGTGTTGTAGCATCGATGTACCAGTCATAAAGAGAAAAGCTAGGCCCAGTGATTTGCGCTTTTGACATAGCTCAATTAATCCCATTAGCTCGCAGCGTCCGTTGCGCCCGGACTTACAGCGTCCTTCCTCCGAGCACCGATGGACAGTTGGGCAGGACTCCGGGGAGTCGAGAGGCGGGCTCAGAAAGCAACAACCGACATCGACAAGCCTCGAGCACGTGCAGCCTGCAATTTCCCTGTGCTCGTGACGAACGTGCCAGAGATTGCAAGCCTAAAAAAGATAGCTTGGCGTGCACGCTTTGTCAATGCCACTTGTTGCTGTTTGTCCCTCTAGTGGAAATAGGGCGCAGTCATCGCCTGAAAGGAACAGCAGTCTTGACGTTGGGAACCAAGCAGCGTCAAAGGGCATCGTCGTGGCACTCGTTTTGACTTTGTAGGTTTGCCATCGGTGGTTAAACGAATCACGCACAACGAGTGCGCAGGAACGGGGCGCATTGAATGTGCGTGGTTGGTTAAGTCGCTATTATCAAACGCACACGATCCACGACCGCCATGATGATACACTTTTGGCGCTGCTCAGGCGGTTCCATCTGACCACGTCGCCGGCTGCGGTCGAACTTAAAGTGAAACGGAGTCCAGACTCATAATTGGCAGGCGTTGGGCATAAATTAACTCAGCTATGGCCGCCGTTAGACACCACGGATACCACCTACTGTCTCTCGGAATCTCAGCGCTGTGTTGTACCATTGTGCGCGCGCAGAACTACGAAGGAGGAGGAGGAGGAGGATACGAGATGTGGGGCGATCCGTACGTCAAGTCCGACTTCTCGGTGTCGTCGTACGGGATCACGTTGCCCCACGTGCGCGTGCCCCGGCGCTTCCGTCCCTGGGAGACGAGCCACGAGGGCCACGACGTGCTGTGCGGCCTGCTGGGCATCTTCCCGGCCTGGCTGCAGCGCTACCGCACCCCGCGCTGCTACCTCTTCTTCCTCTGCGTCTTGGGCCTCACGCAGGGCTTCGTCGTCAACGGGCTCGTGTCCGTCGTCACGCCGACCATCGAGAAGCGCTTCCGTATGCTCGGCGTCGAAGTGGGAGTGCGTGCATGACCATTGCCCTCCATAAGTTTGTGCTTTCTTTGGTTTTCTTCAGCGCATTTCGCACGCATGTGCAAAATGCGCGGATATATGACTTGCACTGAGGTCACATCAGCTAACATTGTGGTGACCTTACTGCTGAGTGCGTACTTTCTTCGGCATAGCTAAATCCCGCGTTAACACTATGGGTGCAGAATCCTGCGCGTACACACTCAGGAGAGTGTCAAAATATCAAAAATCGCACAAAAATAAAAAACACTGAAAGTACGTTTTTCGCGTAGCACAAATGTCCACCCACATAACGCGACTCGTACCTCTGCCTTTTCTCTCTCCTTTCTCTTCCATTCCCCCATCCCCTCCCCCCATTCAGAGTAGCCAACCGAAGCAGGCCGCCTTGGTTAAGTTTTCTGCGCTTGCTGTTTTATTCTGCAGCATATGTTTCGCGCCACTGAATTCATTTCTTTTTTCTCGGCATGAACAAATAGGAATAATTATCAGCATGTTTTAATGACGTAACGGGCACGCCATGTATAGTTGATGCAAGGTTAACAACTTAGTAGTAGCTCCACCTCGAACGTGAGGTTTCTGCTTTTGAAAACACTTCGTAATATGCGCAGCCATGGCGCTGCGGAAGGTAATGAGTGCTTGCTGCATTTTTAGAAAAAGAAAAAGCGTCTAACCTATGTTCCTTCAGAAAGGTAGAAAATTTCAGCCCTGAAATCAGAGGGGCAAAGGTCCTCCCTCGTCTGCATCTCATTGTGGTGGCCCCGAATCGAGCGAGTCGAGCTCAATTAGGCTTAGCGAGAACGCTTCATCTATTGTCGCTCTTTACACAGAACTCTACCGCGATTCAACCGAAAATAGTTGGCGTAGTTTTCGAACAGGCAAATACCTGGGGCAACTGGCGGCCCCCAGTGCCTGCAAGCAGCTATCGCAAGAAAATCAGTAAGCTGCTTCGCACCCATTTAGACGAGTCACTGCTTTCGAGTCAAGGAGAGCAGCAAATAAAGACATAACACGAGCTTTTTATGAACTGTATGTATTGCCGAAGCCAGCTTCCCGCGTAGGTACGAAAATTTGCGTTTCGAACGCAATCACTCAGATTTATCGTTGTCAACACTTCGATGCTGACGATGCTGAACGGAGATAACCGAAACCAGGTCACTTTGCGTACTTCGCGTCTTCCCTTTGCTATTCCTCGAGCCACAATTCCACCGTTAGCACAGCCCATCGAGGAGGAGTGGTAAACTATTCGCGAAACCAAAAGCTACTCTCAAAAAAGCTACTTCAAAGCAGCCTACTTGGCTCGTTGTTGCACGGTGACCAGAAAATACGAATCTTGCAAATACCGCAGAAATCTTGGTTCTAGTGAAATGGAGTTCGAGGGTCACCTCATAGATGGCGCCGGCATTCTAGTGTGTTCTTTGGAAACGCAGTGCTATGCATGAAATCCGAAGTGCATGCGAGACTAGAAATAAGCGCGGAGTAGGTAGACTGCCTTTGGGGCACATTGCAAAACGCCAAACCAGGGAGTACAAGGAGACATGGGATGGGCATCGTTTGAGAGCAGGGAAGCGGTGAGCAAGGTAGAATTTGAGGATAGGTTGAGGCAAATGGACGGGGAGCAATGGGCACGAAAGGTTTTCAGCTATTTATACATGAGGAGTGTAGACACAAAGTGGAGACAGCGCACTAGGAAATTAAGAGGAAAGTTTTTGGGCTATAGCGAAGATACGGAAGAGCAAGTCTCAGTTAAGAAGAAAGTTAAGGCCACAGAAAGAGATTGGTGGCTAGAGGGAATGCAGACAAAGACGGCTCTGGAAAGCTATAGATTAAACAAAAGAGTTATTGCCAAAGAAAGCATTTATGACAATTCTAGGGGAAGCTCATTGCTGTTTGAGGCAAGAACGGGTGTTCTGCGAACCAGAACATACAGAGTGAAGTACCAGGAAATTGATACAGTGTGCACTGCTTGTGGAGAGGAGGAGGAGACGGCTGAGCACTTGATACTCTACTGTAAAGGGCTTCACCCTATGCCTACCGAAGACAACATAGATTTAATAAAGTCATTGGGTTTTAGAGACAGCGAAGGGAGTGGATTTCAAGACTGTAGAGATTACCAAGCAAAGATTAAGGGAATGGTGGCAGAAATCAAGAGAAAACTAGGTATTTTCTTATCCACTGATGGCAAGGGGGTTTCATAGCCTCACTTTCTTTGCACTGCGGAGTGAATATAGATTTCACATTTAAATATTCTAAGCTTAAATGGTAAAACAAAATGGCTAGGTGGCGTAAGCTACCGCCCGATCCAAAGGGCTCAGCCGTATTCATCCATCCATCCATCCGTTCTCGCGTCGCAAGAGATCACAGTAACTCGGTCGTTAAAGAGAAACGAAGTTATATACAACTCCGGCGATCCGTCGTCGTGTCGCGGCAGATGGTGCAGAGCATGTTCAACGTGGCCTCGTGCATCATGGTAACCCCCGTGAGCTACCACGGCGGCGTGAGCCACAAGCCGGTCATCCTGGCCGTGGGCGCACTCACCCTGTCCCTGGGCTCCATAGTCTTCGCCTCGCCCCACTTCCTCGCCCCGCCCAACATCGCGGTCGGTGAGGAGCGCCTTAACATCTGCCCCATCGGCGGACCAAGAGTCTGCGACGACGTGGGCGCCGGCACCGCCTCCACGGGGTTCGGCGTGGGCAGCATGGGCCTGAACAGCTTCAAGTACTTCTTCATGGTGGGGCACGCGCTTCACGGGGTCGGTTCGTCGCCCTTCTACACGCTGGGCGTCGCTTACCTGGACGAGAACACGCCGACATCTCGCACCTCCATCTACATCGGTGAGGAGGCCGTGTAGGGATAGGTGTAAACGCACACTTGTTTGTGGGGGCTTCGTCTTAATCGTATTCACCTCAAGAACGATAGTAAAACAAATAAAGTCGGGCTCTTCGTGGAGCGTTACTAAATTTCCCCTTTATCTGTTGATTTAGGATATATTGCCGCGCCCAGGGCTGAGAAAGCAACGCTCAGTCACGGACCTCCAGAAAGTTCTCGTTTATTCATGTACCGCATGTAACTTCTATCATTTATTCCTGCTTTTGTTTTCTAGAAAGTGCGTGTTCATTCTCGCCCGATCACGCGACGCTCGAGCCGCTTTCGCCGAATCTTCGAGATAGCGACGCACTCTAGATAAGAGGCCGCCCGCGACCTTGTCGAGTCAGTTTCCGCCCCAGCGTTCGACTCTGCTGACACGCCGACTTCGACGCCCGCGACGCTCTGCTTTCTTCTGTTTCCTTCTTTATTTTTGGCACAAGTTCGCCACATTAAACGTTTATTTATTTCTGTTTATTTCTTGCTTATTCGTCACCACCCGTGACATTCTGGTGGAGGTGCGGGGTACTCACATGTCCGTACGGCGCAGCCCTCCAAGTTCCCGCAGTACAAGTCCAAACCCCAGCTCCGGAGGACCCGACGAAGACCAGATCGAGACCCGGTCAAGTCGCCGCATCCGAGGTCTACCCCCGGAACACGGACTTCTGCCACCCACGACCAACCCGAAGACGACGATGGCCAACCAGGCGCAGACCCCGGCCGCTTCTGCCGTTCTGTACCTGCCGGTCGCACCCAGGACTCCAACGCCTTTCCACGGAGACGTCCACGAGGACGTTGAAGACTGGCTGCAACACTACGAACGTGTAGCCCGCCACAACGGATGGACGACTGAACAATGCCTCCACAATCTCTACTTCGCGCTTGAAGGAACTGCGAGGCATTGGTTTGAAAACCACGAAGCGTCCTTCACTACGTGGGAGTCCTGCGCCGCGGAATTGAAGCGAACGTTCCTCAACCACCACCGTCGGCAGCGAGCGGAGGACCTTCTCCAAACAAGGGTGCAGGGCCCCAACGAAAGCGTGACCAGCTTCGTAGAGGATGTCATGCGCCTATGTGCCCGAGCCGATCCGGAGGCGGCCGATGAGAAGAAGCTTCGCGTCCTCATGCGTGGCGTGAAAGCTGAAATTTTTGGGGGCCTTATCCGCCATCCCCCGACAACCGTCGACGGTTTTGTGGCTGAAGCCACTAACATCGAGCGAGCGCTGTCGGCCCGAGCAAGCCATTACCATCGACTCGCCGGCGTGCCTGCTCCTCGAACCGCCGCATCTTGCCGACTAGACCTGAACGCCACCGGTGTCGACGGCCTTCGGGAAATCGTCCACGACATCGTCCGGGAGGAGCTCCGCAAGCTTCTGCCTGCTGCCAACCAGCCGGCTGAGCTGTCGATCGCCGAAGTGGTGCGCGAAGAAGTCCAGCGAGCAATTCAACCGGAGGCTCCTGCCTGCGTAGCACCACCCGAAGAGCCCGCCCTGACCTACGCCGCAGTGGCCCGACGGCCACCGCCGCCTCGCCGCACCTATGTCACGCCGCCCCGACGTCAGTCTCCTGCGCCGCAGCACGACCGACGCCACGACGACCAGGTCCAGTACGCCTGCCCGGAGCCTCGCGCACCCCGCAAGACCGACGTGTGGCGAACGCCCGACCGACGCCCTCTGTGCTTCCATTGCGGGAAAGCGGACCACACCTACCGCCGATGCCCATACCGACGACTGCCGCTTCGCGGGTTCCACCCGAACGACCCGCGACCCCGTTATGGTGAACGCCCTCGGGAGATCGACAAGTACCTGCGACAACCTCAGTCCCCCGAGCCTACGTCCCGCCGAGAGTTCCGGTCGCCGTCGCCACGACGTCCAGCTTCACCGATGCACCGACCCCGACGTGAAAGCCTGTCGCCCCTCGCTCCTCGCCGGGGAAACTAGGCGCGGCAACCCCTGGAGGTGGAGTTGCCGAAGACGGCCGACGCCAAGATTCTCCACGAACGTCGGAGGGCCCCCACTCGAACGCTACCAGAGATCGAAAGCACGCCCCTGCAACGGTGTCCAATAACCTAAACGTCATCATCGACGGCCACGACGCATCAGCGCTCGTGGACACTGGAGCAGACTACTCAGTCTTGAGTGGGAGGCTCTCCCGCCGCCTTCGAAAAGTCACGACGCCGTGGGATGGACCTCAGATACGAACCGCCGGAGGGCACCTCATCACACCGGTCGGGAGATGCACTGCTCGCGTCGAGATCCACGGTGAGACGTGGCCTGTCAAATTCGTCGTTCTGCAAGACTGTTCGAGAGACGTCATTCTCGGAATGGACTTTTTGTGTGAATACGGCGCCATCATCGACCTTGGGGAGAACAAGCTGACGCTTCGGAAACCTGTTCCCTCGGCGGAAGATCCCAAAGCGACGTTAGCTGCAGTGCGAGTCCTTACCAGCCACGTAAACCTGCCGCCGCTGTCCAGTGTCTTTGTCCCCGTCGGGACCGACGAAGCCACCTGCGGGATAGCACTGTTGGAAGGAAGCGTCCAACTTCTCCTTGGACGAGGGATTGGTATTGCAAGAGGCGTAACCGAGCTCCAGGACGGGCGTACCGTAGCCCTTGTCACCAACTTCCGGCAAGAGTCGCAGCACCTTACAAAGGGTACAGCTGTGGGCTACGTCGAGGAAATTCAGGACTCGGCCGCCATCGCCGTGATCTCAGAAGACCCCTCTCCGACGCACCACAAGGGAACCACGCCGTCAAAGCTCGACATCGACCCATCCCTCCCAGGCCCACAACGACGACAGCTGACTGACGTTCTCGCTGAGTTCAGTGAGTGCTTCGCCACATCGTCAAGGCTACGCCAAACAGCGGTTGCGAAGCATCGAATTGTTACTGACGATGACGTGCCCCCTATTCATCAGTCGCCGTACCGAGTTTCGGTGAAGGAGAGGGAAACCATCCAGAAACAAGTTCAAGAAATGCTTGACGACGATATTATTCAGCCTTCAAGCAGTCCGTGGGCATCTCCAGTCGTGCTGGTGAAGAAGAAAGACGGAACCCTTAGGTTCTGCGTGGACTACAGGCGGCTGAACGCTGTTACAAAGAAAGATGTCTATCCGCTTCCCCGCATAGATGACACCCTCGACCGTTTACGCCACACCCGGTACTTTTCGTCGATGGACTTGAAGAGTGGCTACTGGCAGATTGAGGTCGATGAACGGGACCGCGAGAAGACTGCCTTTGTCACGCCCGATGGACTTTACGAGTTCAAGGTGATGCCCTTCGGACTCTGTACGGCGCCGGCGACTTTCCAGCGGGTCATGGATACTGTACTAACGGGACTGAAGTGGCAGAGCTGCCTCGTTTACCTGGATGACGTCGTCGTTTTTTCGCACGACTTCGACGAGCACTTGAAACGGCTTAGGGCCGTGCTCCAAGCCATCAAGACCGCAGGGCTCACACTCAAGCCAACGAAGTGCCGCTTCGCCTGCGCCGAACTTAAGTTCCTTGGTCATGTCGTTAGTAGCGAAGGAGTACGCCCTGACCCCGCGAAGACATCCGCCGTAGCCGAATTCCCTCGACCATCGGACAAGAAGGCCATCCGCAGATTCCTGGGGCTGTGCGCGTACTACAGGCGCTTCGTTCAAGATTTCGCAAAAATTTCGGCGCCCCTCACACATCTTACGAAAGACGCCGTGAAGTTTCACTGGGCAGAAGAACAAGAACGGGCTTTCGACGAACTGAAACAAAGACTTCAGACACCTCCGATCCTCGGACATTTCGACCAGCACGCCGAAACCGAAATTCACACGGACGCAAGTAACTCCGGCCTTGGTGCGGTATTGGTACAGCTACAGGAAGGCACGGAGCGAGTTATTGCCTACGCAAGTCGGACACTGTCAAAAGCGGAGAAAAATTACTCCACGACGGAAAAAGAATGTCTCGCGGTTGTATGGGCGATCACAAAGTTTCGTCCGTACATATACGGGAACCCGTTCCGGGTGGTCACAGACCACCACTCGCTCTGTTGGCTTGCAAACCTCAAAGACCCTTCAGGACGCCTGGCTCGATGGAGTCTTCGACTGCAAGAATTTGACATGACCGTAGTCTACAAGTCAGGACGGAAACATAGCGACGCCGACTGCTTGTCCAGAGCCCCCGTCGAAACGCCAGACTGTACCGACGTGGATGATGACGAGTGTTTCCTAGGTGCCGTGGACACCAACGACATGGCAGGACTTCAACGAGACGATCCGGAGCTCCGCGCCCTGATTGAGCATCTAGAAGGACGAGGAAGTACCGTTTCTCGTGTCTTTTCACGAGTCCTGCCGACCTTCGCTATTCGAAGAGGTGTACTTTATAAGAAAAATTTTGGAACCAGTAATTCGTCGTGGCTTCTGGTAGTCCCCACCAGCCTTCGAGAAGAGATTCTTCAAGCCTGCCACGACGACCCAACTTCAGGACACCTCGGTTACAGCCGAACACTAGCCCGAATACGTGAAAAATACTACTGGCCCAAGCTGCCGAAAACCGTCCATCTCTACACGCGATCGTGCCATGAGTGCCAGCGACGCAAGAAACCGCCGTCAAAGCCAGCAGGTCGCCTTCAGCCGATTCCCCCTCCAACCAAACCGTTCCAGCAAATTGGAATGGATTTGCTGGGCCCTTTTCCACCGTCGACCCTGGGAAACCGCTGGATAATCGTCGCCACAGATTATCTTACGCGTTACGCCGAGGCGAAAGCCCTTCCTTCGGGGACTGCTGTCGAAGTCGCGAAGCTCTTCATCGAGTCCATCGTCCTCCGGCATGGCGCCCCCGAAGTCCTGATCACAGACCGAGGGTCATCGTTCATGGCGCAGTTAACCCAGGATATCCTTCGTCTAAGCCAGACGGACCACCGTCGGACAACTGCATACCATCCGCAGACAAACGGGTTGACGGAGCGGCTCAACAAGACCATCGCCGACATGATCTCCATGTACGTCGACGTGGAGCACAAGACATGGGACGAGGTATTGCCATACGTCACATTTGCCTACAATACGGCCGTACAAGAGACCACAAGAGTGACGCCCTTCCAGCTGGTGTATGGCCGGAAGGTGACGACTATGCTAGACTCTATGTTGCCGCACGATCCAGTCGACGACGGAAGCGATGACGCCCAGGTGGTTGCTCAACGGGCAGAAGAGGTCCGCCAACTGGCAAGACTACGAATTCAAGACCAGCAACATGTCGACGCCGGCCGATACAATCTTCGCCGGCGTGACGCCCACTATCAACCCGGAGACCGGGTATGGGTGTGGACACCAATACGGCGCCGCGGTCTCAGCGAGAAGCTTCTCAAGCGCTACTTTGGACCCTACAAGGTGCTTCGCCGTCTCGGGGACTTAAACTACGAAGTCCTTCCCGACGGAACCCGCCCATCTGCAAGACGTCAGCCGCGACCCGAGGTAGTGCACGTCGTCCGGCTGAAGCCGTATTACGAACGATAGGACTCTCCACTCTCGTCGACGAGTGAACTGTGGACTGTGAACTCCGGCTAGCAATTCTGCTGTCCTTTTGTTTTTTTGTTTTCCGTTTTTGTGCTGCATCGGGACGATGCACTTTTAAAGGGGGGGATAATGCCGCGCCCAGGGCTGAGAAAGCAACGCTCAGTCACGGACCTCCAGAAAGTTCTCGTTTATTCATGTACCGCATGTAACTTCTATCATTTATTCCTGCTTTTGTTTTCTAGAAAGTGCGTGTTCATTCTCGCCCGATCACGCGACGCTCGAGCCGCTTTCGCCGAATCTTCGAGATAGCGACGCACTCTAGATAAGAGGCCGCCCGCGACCTTGTCGAGTCAGTTTCCGCCCCAGCGTTCGACTCTGCTGACACGCCGACTTCGACGCCCGCGACGCTCTGCTTTCTTCTGTTTCCTTCTTTATTTTTGGCACAAGTTCGCCACATTAAACGTTTATTTATTTCTGTTTATTTCTTGCTTATTCGTCACCACCCGTGACAATATATAGGGGGCATCTTAGATTAACTTTATGATATTTGCTCAGGAGCTAGCTGCACGTTTCAAACTCAGAATACCATCGTTTCTCCCTTCGACAACCAAATCTTGGAAGAACTACTTCGCCACACGCATGAGCAATGTGCAAGACTTTCTTTTTTTCTTGATGTGACGAGTGTACATACCAACAAATGAACGAGAAACACTTCTTGTGGTTATGTCAAATGGATCCAGGCTTAATTTCTTAGGCCGATCCATCGTCAAAAGGCCATAAAAACATGTTTGTGAACTTAGCGAAAGATTGCTTACGGTGGTAAAAATACGAAGGCGAACATGGGGGGATAAAGAGAAGGTCGATAAAATTGACACAGAACATAGGAAGTAATTTTATTTGTATATTCTATGTAATGAAAAAATATCTTGGGCTCCTCAGAGTGGCGGTTGAAGTTTCGCTAAGAGACTCAGCTTTTTCAGGACGCCACCTGATTATTGGTCACAGAAATATATAGTAAATGAAAGGGAGTTCTGATGAGTGGGAGGTTAAGGTAAGAGGGTTGTTGGTCTATGGCTCTATGCAATTTTTAGCGCTCTCCGATCCTCATACTATTCGCTCAACACTGCGGCTACTTGCAGGCGAACTTTGTGTAAAAGTGACTACCAGTAAAAGCAATATTGCTCGCGCTCGATGTTTATACAAATACAATTAAAACGCGCGTATTTCTACCAGGCATCTTCTACGCCACGTCTGTCCTGGGGCCTGCAATGGGTTTTCTTCTCGGTGGATATTTTCTATCCATTTACACCGACCTCAACGTGGACTCCAACCGGTAAGCCCTCCATGTTTGGACAACTCGTCTCCTCTCTCCTCCACGTTCTCATTACGAACACAACATGTTTTTCACACAAGGCACCGGCAACGCTCGCTGTGGAAGACAGCATGCGAAGTACTTAGCAATAAGTACATTTTACTTAAAGTACACCTATGTAGGTTTAGAAAACGTGTACTTCACTTGAAGTACATTCTCTGGGAACCTACAACTCCCGACTTCTAAGCAGAGTATATTGCTCAACTTTGGTTTTGTTAAATATCTACAACAAACTGATTCTTTGTCAACTCATAAGAAATACTGGGAGGTATATTCTACTCTCACCAGAAATGCGAGCAGACAACGCATCGCTCCGTTTGTTGGGGGGCGGCTTTCCCGCAGCATATCTACTTCTCGCTCACTCTAACAAAAACAATAGCGTGTCTTCATATGAAAACGCGCTATCTTCTTTCGAGACGTCATCTGGTTATATCTCTAAGTGATGTAATGGTGGCTATAAGACCGCTACAATAAAATTGCCTTATAGGTTTATTGTGTTGAATAGTTCGTCAGCGAGAATATAAGAAGCTACTTTGTAGTCACTTGACCTTACCCAATATTAGCCGCCATTTACGAACATATCTGATGCACCCACGATTACCCCTGAAACAATGTATACCGGTTTAAAGAAAACAAGTTCTGATTGGCTTTGCTTGTAGGATAGTGGGTAGACTTCAAAGCAAGCTGTACAGCCGTATATGTAGAGAGTTTGGCCATTCATTGGGAAGTATATGAGACAAATGAAAAGGCGCCATTGGTCGAAAGCGGGCTGGGCGTGTTCCACGGCGTATTTACAAATTCGGATGTGGCCAACCAGGAGCCGGAGGTAATACCCTGGTGGTGGTCACGAGAATCGAAATTAATAAGTGCATCGAAGTAACTCTCGGCGACTGAAAATATGGTGCACACCATTCAATCACGGTCATCCAAGATCATGGTGGGAAAGCGCAACTAGCGAAACGATCGACATAATCCGTATGCCAAGCGCCGAGGACCGGGAATCTGCCGTCCGAGCGGTCATACTCTGTCCGAGCAAAACAGAGTTCAAGCGGCCACATTCGTTTCTTACATCTTTCTGCATAATCACAATCGAAACATCACATGCACCCTATTTTCAACCAGGAAGGGTTACTGCATTTAACTCTTACGCGCTTATTAACACCATTAACCAATGATTAAAAATGTTTTTGCTACCACCGCTAGGAGATTATTTTCAGCTTCTGGCTGGCCAAGAGCATGACAAGCCCTTTTTCTGCGTCTGGTGCACGGCCTGGCTCTGCCCGCGCCTCCTATTGACCAAACTCTCTCCATACACGGCTCTGGCAAGGTTCCTTGAGATCTACCCACTACCCTTCAATCAGAGCCAATCAGAGCTCGGCGTTCTGACGTCACCACAATCCCTGCAAACGAAGCAGACGATCTTGCGCTCCGCATAGGAGGCATGAAGGAATGCTGAGGGTGCAGGTATAGCTAGTGAATATTGAGCATTTTGGTAAACCCGAGACTGGAGGTTGAGTTTCCGTCCTTGTCCTTTTGTCGCCACTCTCGGCTTCGCCAAAATGCTCCATAGGAGGCGTTGGGTTTGCTCGGTCACTTTCAAAAAAAGCCACGGCCCCACGGTTCTTATACCTGACTTGCGCTTCTGCAAAGTCGCTGCCGTTATGAATTTGTCTGCTTTGCAACATTTTGCTTCGCCGACGTTCACGTCTGCAGACTTGGCATTTCCACGGTGAGCAGTGGTTGGATCGGCGCCTGGTGGTTGGGTTTCTTCGGCGCTTCCATCGTGGCGTTTGTGACAGCGCTTCCCGTTGCCAGCTTTCCCAAGGCGTTACCCGGTACGCTGCCGCCTAATCGGCTTGTTCATCGCTAGCAGAACGAATGTTGGTGTAGTCTACGGGGGGGGGGGCGGGGGGGGGGGGGTTGTATTCTGTTTCATACTTAGTATGCAACGCTGTCAAGGCTGCTGGTACGACCATGGAGCATGGGGTTTGATCTCCACCGCTGCTGCAATGGATCGAGGGAACTTTAGTCTTTCTGCACGTGCGACAACCCCGCTGGAGCTCTGTGCGTGTAGAGCACGAGACAGCCCGAGCCCTCACGTGCACTGCCGTTCGCCTCCTGTGAACTAAAGCATAGCCTCCTCCGTACTCACAAAGCCTGGCAGTTTGACGACAGAACCATAGAGTGCCCGGTCGCAGATTTGGAGGGCGAGGATCTGGTAGCACAGAGCATTTTTCGGGAAACCTGGACGTCAGCACACATCTTTTGCAGCGGCGACGACCTGAAGCATGGTTTTCAAACCTGACTAAAAAAGAAGTAGTAGCGTGAGAAACGCGAGGAGCACAAGCGGACATTCCATCGCTCGGGAGAAGTGTGTTTCGGGGTCTCGCCGCAGCGGGGCGCCCGTCACGTGGTTCTCCTCACATCCGTTGTCTGCCGCTCTACCTTTTCAATTTCGGCGGCCGCTTCTCGTGGCGATCTGCCAGGCTTTTTCAGTATAGAGGAGGCTATGATAAAATTACGGCGGCGTCACGCATGCGCCGAACGCTTAGTGAGATTGATCTATTGCACGCGTTCTCGCTCGAACGAAATCATAGATGAAGCCACGTTCTCGCGCCAGTATACACACTATTCCAATATCTGCAAGTCCTCAGCCCAGCGTGCGATTTCCTCAGCCCAGCACGCGCATTTTCGTCGTTTCGCAAAGCGAGCAAATCATGCGCCATATGTACGAACAGAGAAACGAACCGACCAGGATCCCTTTCTTGGAAAGGTCTATACGCGTTTGCAAGTCTGGTCTCAGGGCGCCGCCATCTTGCTAATGGGCTGCGCTTGGGCGCAGCCATAATCCGATTGCGACGCCTTAGGAAGGCTTCGTGAGCGCACCGCAGCCGAGCAAGATGGCAGCGCCCTTAAGCCGAACTTGCAAACATGTATAGGGAGCATTCACTGGCGGCCATAGCTGTGTGCGCGACTCCTAAAGCGCGTGCTGACGGCGAGCTTCTACGGTTCTTTTGCAACGTGCATTGCACACCATCAAGATTGCCGGTCTTAGCAGCCTATTAATGTTAGCTCGTTCTAAATAATTGGGTTGTGTGTGTGTTTATACAGCCTAGAACTTGGTCTGCCTCACAGGGGCGACGAGTCTCCCAGCTGTAGATGAGAAATTTAGCCAGTGTGGTACAGCCGCTAGCCTGGGGTCTTTAACGTGCATCACGCAGTAGTGATACACGACCGCACGCCGGTACGATGCTCATCCAGATCGAAACGGGCAGGGGTGGGGCTCGAACCCAGGATCCCTGGGGCTCGTTCTAAACATGCGCTCTAAACAGCGCACTCAAATATGGCGTCCAGTGAATAGGCCCTACAGCTTTGACAGCGTTGTATACCAACCAAGAAACGGAGTATTAGCGGCGAGATGTTTTGGTGGCGCCCTCCTATGGTTCCCCCTTGTGACATCATTACCTTGCAAAAAACAAGTTCGATGGTGTTTGTAAATAGCATGGTGGAAGCCTGAAATCATTGCGCTCTCAAAGGAACACTGCCAACACCCTCAAAATTAAAGTTCTTTCATTCCTCTTATTTTCGTCGATGATAAATCCCCTTTCCTACGTCATAGTCAGCGTTCGGCCAATCTTGGAAGGCCGACATGCACAGCGACGCTTTCGGTCGCGCACGGGGCTAATAGGGGCATTGTATACAGCCAACTTAGCTGGTAGCTTAAAAGATTGAAGCGGGTTGTGATTCAGGACATGGTAAAAGTTCATATGGATCTTTCCGGTTATTTTCCTCCCCCAGAGTGCAAATAATGAGTGTAGCGCATTGTTTTTGCCGGCACACTTTGCATTTATGCAAATATAAATTATATTGCTAATCTTGACCCGCACACCAGAAATGAATGACGCACTTCTACGAAAGCTGTTCACTTTCTAACTTGTACAATCGGCGTCACTATATAGGGGATGGCGCAGCTACATATGCTACAGCGGTGATGGAGGCAAAATGCCGCACGGTCTCTCTCGTCATAACTGCGCGGTGGAAGTAACTGTTACATTGCGACACTATGGAACGTGTTGCATATTGTCTCGACAGTTCTCATGTGCAGGCTATCACTTCCCGCAAAGATTCAACGTGGAGGAAGACGTGTCACTTCCATTTTATTTTTTGAGAGCGCATGTTTATATGTTTAATGAGGTGTACATGGAGATATTGCTTTCTTTTTTCTTTTTTGTGAGGAATTTGTTTTTGTCATATATCTTTTTTGACATAAATACTTGGTTTCCGAGACGAATCGTGACCTTATTTGTATTTCAGTTATAATTTAATTGGCCATATAAAAAACAAGTTTTGCCTGTCTCTTTTTTTTTTTTCAATTGTCGAGAGTGTTAGAAATCCAACAGGCAAACTTCTTTTTTTTTTAGCTTTTTCCTAACTGTTAACGTTCCACTTTATTTTTCGGCGAAGCTTGGAATTAAGGTTTGACTCCGTGTGTCTTGCTCCCGTAGCCGAGACAGAGAGGAATGCTCCGACCGACGCCGGGGGCGGGAACCAAAAGAACACCGATTCCCGGGGTCGCTTCTCTGCTCCGACAAAGAGGAGCTTCGTGAACCATATCAAGAGGCTGTTCTGCAACGGCACCTACGTCTGCCTCACCCTCGCCGCGGCCTCGGAAAGTACGCGTGTCTTCTCCACCATTCGCCGAACGGAAAACAAGAGCCATAATCAGAAATCATCCGTAAAAATCCGAATTCTAAGCAGCTGAAAAAAAAATTAAAATAAACCATGCATTGGAGGTTAAAATATTCAAATGTTGAACTGAGGTCAACTCCAGGACTGACGTCACGCGTTTTTCAGGATTCTCCTCTCAACCTGATACGTATAGAACTGCACCTGGATGTCGTACACAAGTGCCGGTTTCTAGAAACAATACGTAGGAATTCTTAACAAGATAATGGAGTAAATTTTCATTACGGGCTTTGTTATCTTGGATGAAGTATAGTTTTTGGAGTATGAAGAATGGTTAGTGTGGTGCTGTCGCATGTAAACAACTGGTTTAAAAAAGAAAGAATTCCTCAACCGTCGGGCTGTATCAGTGTTTGCTGCTTTCGTTGTCAGTTGATTCTATTTATTGTTTTTGGGACGAGATTCTAAAAGAAAAGTGTCAATTTCAGCAATGATCGCTTCAGGACTTACGGGGTTCGCCACGAAGATATTCATCACTATGTTCGGTCTTTCGTCAACGCAAGCCTCGGGACTCTTAGGTATGATCGGACTTGATTTTTGTATCAATTATATATTTCGTCAAATATTGTCGCAGCAATACGTACCTACAGTTCACTTCACTTCATAGACAGTCCATGAAACGTTGGCGGGTCATGCATATTACGCAAGCAACGCCAGTGAGCTAGAGGTACCTTTGTCCCGGAGCAACCAAGGACAGAAGCGCCATAATTTCGTCTTGTATCTTTCTCAAAACTTGCTGACGCAGTCGTGGATATCGCGATGCTGACGTTACGACAATAACTTGGACTCGGTTGCAATTAATATTTTGACGCATATTCGTGTTGTGGTTCAGTCGCTGCATTGACAGAAAGAGTCGAGCTGTTGCAATATTCGTAGTACAGCACATCCAAAGTCAACACCAGCGCGCCTCTTTAATGAAGCCTGGGCTGCGCATAGTCGGCACCATATAGGGTGGCTGCGTGTACCTCCCAACTCAATGTCGCTCGAACCCTAATGTGAACTTTAGTTTCTACCATACTGGAAATTACGCTAAAGAACCATGGCGTGCTCTTCAAGCTCATGTTGTCCGCGATTGTATTTTGTAATTGCCACCTAAACTTTTCAGACGCCCTTTCATATACCGGCGTCCCCAAGTAGCCGCGCTTCAACGGCTAGTCTGGCCACCGTGGATTGAAAACGCTTTGTTTGGCGCCAATCTGTCAGCCGTTTGCTCACCTTACCAATAAGGCTTGACTATCAGACAATCTTCACACACCAGTAGAAAGATGGCGGCGCCCAGGGGCCGTACTTGCAAACGTCTATACGTCTAGAACTCGCAATTGGGCTCGTTGGTGAACGTTATAAAGTATGGTGCAAGACGCTAAAAGCAACGGACACAATAAAGAAGGCACGCACACACAGTCGCCACTCACAGCTATATTTCAAAAGTCAGGAAAAAAAAAAGAAACGCTGTTCCCGGGCCAACCGCTGTTCCTTGACCACCGCTATTCCCCTGCCAACCACGCTACTCCTTCAAGCATTTACAGTATTCGCCAACCCATGGGATGGCATCTGGCGGAACTGAAAGCAGAGGTTGCTTTCTTTGGCATCAGTTTCAGAAAGCGCTATGTGGATTCGGATTTCTTCAAACACTTGTCAGCATCGAGATTTCCATGGAGTGCAAAAAAATGGATTAACAAATCATACCGACAAGGTGCCACCAAAAAGATTGAAGAACTACACCGGGCCAGTGACCGCATCCAAACAATATTGAGACGTTCCCTTCTGTGTCTGCTCCTTCAACTAAAAGTGTTTTTTTTTTCTTTTGTGCACCACAGTCTCATGTGTTAAACGACATGATTAGCAACCACCAGCTCGCCTGCGCACTTAGTATTTTCACTAAGAAATACATATCTCGTCACCTTGATCCCGTCCACGGATGTGCTTGGTCGGGGAATACACCCTTTATCCCATTCACAAAAAAAAAAAAAAAAAAAAAAAAACTTCAAATAAAATTTTATCTCAGTCTTACACATTGCAATAGATGTGTCACGCACTGTGTTCCTCATTCTTGATAAAGAATGCTTCCATTAACTTGCGCGCTTTTTGGCACTTCCCTCACCCAGGATCGTTGTGTCTTGTCTCAGAAAGACGCGGCTTACACTTACATTTTCTGCAGTGTTCAGGCAAATGTGCCCCATCATTGGTCTATAAATTTTACGCGTGCTCCCTTGGTTGCTAATTCACACATGCTACGGTTTGTCCTACGTAAGACTTTCCACAGGTAAGGGGAATTTCATATCCCACCCCGGTGACGCAATCAACATACTGCCTGGCATGCCTTGCGGTGTCAAGTCATCTATTTCACTGTACAATGCTGAGATAAGATTTTTATAGGTTTTTTGCGAATGGGAGATAAAGCCTGTATCCCATGGCCAAGAGCAAGAGCATGCGTGGACGTGATGAAGGTAACGAGATATGTATTTTTCTTTTCTGAACTTTTCAAATATAGTTGTGAGTGGCGCCTTTGTGTGTGTGTCCTCTACCTTGTGTCTGTTGTTTTTATCACCTTGCACCACGCTTCATAACGTCTATACGTGGCTTGCACTGATATCAGTTCATCGACCATCGTGGTGCCAAGTAACTACTTCAGTACACACTGCAGACTACCGGATTTGATTTTCTTTGCATGAACATTGACGACAGCATGGTGTGATGACATCATGTGCAAGCCATGTATATTTGCATAAAACTTGTGCGTGCGCTGCAAACACGATAACGAAGGGACGCAAATAAGGTGAACCTTACTATTTTTATTGAAACATGTCCTGGTATTTGTAGTCAACCCTCGTCACGAAACACAACACAAAAAAACTATCACAGAGCATGCGCAGGGTACAGTATTATCTCGTTCTCCGCAAACCAAGTTCCTTTTCAAATAGCGCCTATCGATGGCATAACCACGCACGTATCGCCTAAGCAATCAATGCCGTTCAGATTCAACGTTTTCACGTGTCATATCGTAGTTTGACTTTTTTTTCCAATTTTAACGCATCTATTAAACAGTGGGGCACAGCCGCATGCCCTGCACGTATGTCAAGATATCCGCCGCTGTGGCTTTGCACGTTGTTACAGTTTTCACGAAGCCTATCATTTATGCAGCGCCCCGTCTCCCCGACGTACTGCCTGCCACAGGACGGCGGAATGCGACATAAATTTGTGCAGTCGACAAATTTTTTCCGGTGCTTCTCTTCACATCCGTGTTTTGCAGGCCCGTCAGGCTCTGTTAGTTTGTATAGGTTTATGAGCTTATTGGGCGCGGAAAGCACTACCTTTACGTTTGACCGTATTGCTATTTACTTCGAATTGTGCGGTATAACTCGGAAAATTTGCGGTATCACAAATTTTTTTTTCTGTCTGGCCTGCTGGCTCCCACTGTTCACTTCGAGACAGTGTTTTTCTAGAAAACTTTCAGCAACCGCAAAAAAGAATGTGCTTGGAGTACCCAGCTGTGGCCAACCGCATTACCTGCTGCTCAAAACCAGCTGAGGTCAAATACTCACGGGAGTTTTTTTAGTGCATTGGTAAAACAGAGGGTAACAATACTTCCCTTGACCAGCTTTTAGTGGGCTGAATGAAAAGCAAGCAGCGGCTTATTCGGGAGTTGGAAGTTGCACCTCGTTTGTGTCCTGTCCTCCCTTCGTCCTCGTCTTTGCTTCGCACGCACAAGTTTTATGAAACGACCATCCAACTATAGCCCAAACAGCCACTCTCCCTATATAGTATATGTCTTCCATATGTGAAGTGGTCACGGTGTTCTTTGGCGGCGGCAGGGGCGGTGTCTGTCCCGAGTGCTTGCGGTGGTGCCCTTCTCGGCGGCTACATCATCGCCAGGCTCCCCGTGAAGTCTTCGACGATTGTCCGCTTTTGTGCCATACTGTCACTCGTGCCCTGGTTCACCATCTTCGTCTTCATGCATAGCTGCCAGAGCACTCAGCACGCCGCGACCACCCTGACAGCCCTACGCCATAAGTGAGTACGCCAGAACAGCACTTCGAGATGTGATTCGACGCCAGTCTCGACATTCCGCCTAAGAATTGACCCTTTTCAAACGCGCGTGCCATGCCGTATTGTCTCCATGGCCAAGCACTCTAGAGCATGTATACAGTATACTGGGCATGAGTGCCGCGTCACCGTTCGGCAAGGACTCTGATCCAATCACGCGCTTAGTTTCCAATACATGAATGAATGGATGCTAACGGCTGTACCCTTTAAAAACGAGCGGTACCTTGCGCCACCTAACCTAGAAACAAACAAAAAAAAAAAGTGATTTCGTTCCTTGCCTTCCTCAACAGAAGTTTCGCCACCTTTTGGCGACCACCAATGTTGCTTGATGATGTTTTAAAAATGATTTATTACCGAGACTCGTCTCGTAACCACGGGACACGGTCCATGGGCCATCTTGAAAAACTAGGAAATATATTTCGTTGTATTTTAAGCATCTTACATTTCCTGTGGGCTTGAAATAATTCTGGCATTATAATAAGTAGCATTCCGTGTTTCTGAGTTTATTTCTCGTAAAATTCGGAGGGTGATTTTTTTAGTTCATTTTTCGCTGAAAATTATGGCTTTATCGAAGTTGATTTTTTGTTAGATTGACAAGTCTCTAAAATTTTGACTCTATTTTACTGTTTTCACTATTTTTAAAATGCAAAAACACAATAAATAAAACTCTGGTACGACCCGTTGACCCGAAGCTAACAGGCAAACCCCTTTTGTCAGTATTTCGAGATTTGAAAGGAAACTGAAGCGGCAATTCCTCAGGACCACGGACCTTGTACTTTTCTAAAGTTTATTTCTAAAACACCGTCTTTTTCTTTTCTTTTTTTTTTCTTTTTTTTACTGTTTTCTCTTCTTTTTTGTCGTTGTGAGTACGAAATTTTGAGTTTTTCGGATAAAGTTGAATTGATGGAAAATGTATCGGCGAGCGTCTTTCGGATTTATCCGAAGGCACGGAATCCCAGTTAAAAGCGACCATTTCTAATACATAGTGCATAGGTGCAATCTTTCACATACCTCAAATCGATGTGAGAAGCGCGGGCTAGCTCGCTCTTGTTGCTTTGGCTACAGTATCAGCTTAAGGGTGAACAGAGTATACTGCGCAGAAAGCAGCTTGGAACTGTGCTCCAGGACTACCCGGTGAACGGCGCCAGTGTGTCGGTGTATTATTTCGTCGTGAGTATAGTCACAAGCGGTCGAAACTATAGTCGTGCACTAACTATGGCCTTAACGTGTGCTGCGTGCTTTGCAGGTCTGCACGGCTAACGGCCAAGGACCTGGAAGAACCGTGCAACGCCCACTGCAACTGCTCCGACGCGCTGTACGATCCGGTGTGCGGCACGGACAATCTCACTTATCACTCCCCGTGCGTGGCCGGCTGCTCCACAGTGAAGCACCTGCCGCACACCCAGGTGAGGCGTTCGCCCCACGTTTAGAAACAAAAGATGGGCTCTTGGCGACGTTCACTGCAGAGCCGTTCTTTTTTTTCCAGTGGGCACAAAAGTAATGTCGTTCACATTACGGCTTGCTAGAACTAAAGTGCATATACACTACCTTCTCTATGAAAAATATCAGTAATCGCAGTTCATTCATTTAATTCATTTATATTATATATTTATTTGTATCTATACCTACATCTCACTATCTTATCTTTTTGTACATTTATCCACCTTATATATATATATAAATATATATATATATATATATATATATATATATATATATATATATATATATATATATATATATAATATATATATATAATATTATATATATATATATATATATATATATATATATATTATCTATCTGCCTTATTTGTCTCTATTTATTTATAAACCCTCTGGGATGTCAGACGTTACAAAGAAGAATGGGTGAAACAACATTTCAAAAACATGTACAAACAGCGGTTACAACTGTTCACAAACTGCAGATTTGCAGGAAGAAGGAACGGTGAAAAGGGAGACGACTGTCGAAGGAAGTCGGTTCCAGTCTAAGCTAGTTTTGGGGGAACAAAGAAGTCAAAAGTACGAGTTAGTTCTAGAATTAGGTACGCCAACATTAAAATGGCGTTTGGGCCCTAGCTAGGCAGAAAATAAAAACGGGCCGGGGTTTTGGAATGTTTCGTACCGAGCATGACTGCCGAAGCACAGTGCTACCGCACGAAACTGTTATCGGGGTTGGAAAAATAGGAAAAACCTTCTTGGCAAAAAGAACATATGCGCGCCCTGTCTAGCCATCCAAGCACTTAACAACAACAAAAACGAATTTTGGGAGTTAGATTTCTCTTTACGTGATCCCGCGAAGCACAGGGCATGACGACGTGTATTTCTGTCACGGCGACGCAGACCTACGAGCATTGCACGTGCATCAACGGTCCCACGGTGCAAGCGAGCTTCGACGACGACCAGCCGCCCACGTACTACATGGCGAAGCGAGACCCGTGCATCGCCGACTGCGGCCTCATCTTCGTCTACGCGGCGGCCATCTTCATCGCCCTCTTCTTCACCTTTCTGCTAATCGTGCCCGCTCTGACTGCCATGCTCAGGAGCCTCGAGGAAGACATCAAGTCCACGGGAATAGGCATTAACTACGTCTTCATCAGACTGCTGGGTGGGTGCTCTTGTCTTTATCATCCGTAGTATTCACTAGCGGCGTAGACTTTCCATTTTCTCGGGGGGGGGGGGGGGGGGGCAGGCTGTAAAGTTTTCCGGGGGGGGGGGGGGGGTGCTGCGCGGTACCTTTTCGGCAGAACTGGAGATTGAAGCTAACAAAAGCACGCTGGGATTCCATTTCCCATGTATTTTGTCAATAAAGACAACGTGGGCGTTATTTTGTTTACATGCCACTGCTAGAAGCTCATTACATGGCACGTAAACAGCGTCTCGGTAAGGATCATGGCCCATGTCCGGGAGGAGGGGGGGGGGGGGGGGGTTTGCCCCCCCCCCGAAGTCTACGCCTATGGTATTCACTATAATCTGTTTCTCTCTCATGCATAAATTATAATGACCATATAAAAATACAAGTTTACTATGTTTGGAGGTTCATCGGAATCGCGTGTAAAGTAAATAAAATATCAGAACGGACGTTTTTTCTCTTTTGAGTACAACACGCATTCCATTGGTCAGGTAATCTCATTTTTGGTGTTACGCAGTATATATTTTTTTTTGTAATGAAATTATTACTGTAGTTGTACTTAAGTAGGTTAGCGCTATTTTAATGTTTTGCTTCTGTATTAAAATACTGAACAAAATCTTGTGGCACTGGAAATTAAACGTAAATGTCTCACGACGCATGAAACCCTTCAAAGCACTCTGGGGCAGAGTGGGACAAAGCAAAGCCCACAGGTGCGTCGCCCGTCTTACCAACATTACAGACAACATTATTTGCCTCCTGCCGGTTTTTTTTTTTTTTCTTTTTTTTTTTTTATCCCTGCTGACATCAAAGCCGTCTTCGGAGTCAACAGCTATGCCTAAAATTTCATTGAAGTGACACTGGCAGGGCATTTATGCTCGCCACGGTTTTTATTTACACATGCCCAACTACCCAGAACACAATTTGCGGCTCGCCATACATCGTCGTGGACAGCCTTCGAGACAGCGGAGACACCCGCGTTTCTGCTTTCTTGGCGAATCCGGTTATGCGTCGGCGGCAGAGGCCTTCACCTCCTCGGCGCAGAACGAAGGCGCGCAATGCGCATGCGTTCTCTCGGAAGCGGGCATCCCAAGCAGCATAGAGTTGGCCAATCATTGGCCAATGGCTGGCAATGGTCCTTCGCCAAGTGGCCAGACAGTGGCCAGAGACTGGCCGGTGACTGGCCTTTATCTGGCCACTGGCCAAAGGCCATTAGCCATCGGCCAAGCATTGGCCAATGAATGGCCACTCTCTGGCCACTGGCCAAAAGACCATCGCCAGACATTGGCCATTGCTTGGCCAAAATCCGTGCTGCTTGGGATAACCCCGCCGATAGGAGAGGATTTGCTGCCGTAGGCGCACTGCCTGCAGCCGCAGTCACTCGGCTCATATACCATAGAAAGGACACGATGTCCGCTGCAGAGATGACGACAGAATTATCAGAGGGCGCGCCTCAGGCATGTAACAAGCGTGTTTCCTACATATGTATGCTTGGAACATGGGTGCAGACAGTGTCTGTGACTGTCACACAAGGAAGGCCTCAGACTAATGTCTACAGACTGTCTTTTGTACAATGTCTAAGCAGTGTGACAGCGGCATAATGCGAACGAGCGGAAGTGAATGCACTCTATAGTAAAATAGTTCGTTGTTTCTCTAGCGACCAATCGAAAACGGTGCAGTCGTATATACCTCCTCTGCTCGGGTGCAGGCACCATTCCGGGCCCTATCTTGTTCGGGTACCTGATCGACACGAGCTGTCTCCTGTGGGAGGACAGATGCGGCCGGTGGGGCTCGTGCGCCATCTACGAGAACGCCGTGATGGGCATGAACATCTTCCAGTTCATGATCAGCGTCAAGTCCGCCTCCATCGTCTTCTTCTTCTGTGCCTCGATCGTCAGCTCCGACGAGAGGCCGCAGCAGGACACCCGCGGGACGCCCAGCGACTCGTCCGGGACGTCGGCGCCTGCTCCGTGAAAAGAGCGGAACGGGATCCGTCCGGAAAGAACTCCGCTGGCCCCCGCTATAGATGACGATAAACCCAATTCATATATAGACAAAGTCACCCCCCCCCCCTAATCCGGATTCTAATTCGTACTTCTAATAAAAACAACTATAGTGATCTTCTGGAATATATCCCATAGGCAATTTTAAGCATGGTGCCCAGTTCCCCATGCGTGCAAGTACGTGCGTGCATGACATGGCGGCGACCAGTTGCCCGGCTTGCTATCGTCCGTACTCGAAAGAATTGCGTCTGTCTTTCTAACTAAATTGTTTTGGTGCCGATGCCTATGCGCCGAGAGACCGGGGGAAAGGAGGACACGAGAAGGGGACGTCAAAACATGGAGCTCTAGTTGGAATGATCAGATTGGTCAGATTGGTCTCCACTGCACTCGTCGAACGCCATAAAACGCGGAACGCCAGAGTCCGGTGTTTGAGTCCTGCGTTCTAACGAGCTCGACGAATAAAGAGGAGATCAAGGCAGCTAAAGTTTTAGGGTACATCTAGTGCCACTAAATAAGCTACGCTTCAGAGTAACGACCCTTGTCCATGTTGTGGCTTAAAATCATGGTTGCCAGCTACCTGAAGGTTTATCAGGTATCACAGGAAACGCTTTTCCGTTCTCCACAAATGTTTAAACAGTTCGCGACAAAGCAAAGCAATATTACCTGACCTTTTTGACACCGAGTCTAATGCTGAGGAAGTCGCACTTTTGAATCATGACGATCGGCAGTTGTGTCTGCTTTGCACAAACACCAAAATGGCGGCGCCCACACCAATGTGGGGGAACGGACTGCCGATACTCTAAGCGCAGCTCATTTAGTGACTCTAGGTCTATCCATTAATCGTTCCAATCAGAGCTCTGCATTCTGACGTCCCCGCGCGCTCTTCTCCTCCTCTCCCTCAGCTTCTCGGCTTATACATACGGCGAGCAAGTGTTCCAAAATGCGTCTTTGGTACTTCGGAACGCAAGGAGGTGCACGCCAATCAAAGGGGCGACATGGGGAACGCGCGAAGGCGAGGCAGCCAAGTCCGCGCCGTCATTCAGTTGAGGTCGGGGGAAACAAAGGCACGTGGATGCATCTGGAGGGCTAAACAAACGCACGACGTTTGTTTAACAAGACGGCAAGTGCCTGATGCTTGCCGTCTTGTTTTCGCTGCAGGTCTTGCAGATTGACTCTTCATCTTTAAGTAGGCCAAAGGGCCAGTTTGGCCGGTGTAACTGCCGTGCTGGTTCTAATTCTTCGAAGTCTGGTCGCTTCTCATCTTCCGTACCTCCTAGGTAGCGGATAGTCCTCGGTCAGCACGAGTCCCTTCAGGTAGGCTTTCGTAGCTTGTCTGGCTAATTCGACCTTTTCCACTGGGTCTTCCGCCTCATCTTTGTCCTCGCGAGTGGTTTGTCACAGAGCTGTTTTACTCACTCCATCAGCAGCGGTACAGTGAGCCCACTCGTTCCCGGGAATCTCTGTGCGTCCGGTACCCACTCAAGTGTCAGCACGATGCCTTTCTTTCGTAGCTCTTCAACAATTGTTTTAATCTTTTTTGCAGTTTTGCTTTTGGTTTTGCCGCCCCTATACACTCGGAGTGCCTCTTGAAAGTTAGTAAAAATGCTGGCTCTCTTTGGCTCTTCAGCGTAGTGTCGTGCATATATATGCTTGCTTCTAGAATTGTTCTGAGCTCTGCCTCGCACACGAAATAAAAGCAAATAGAAAGAATAGATCACTGCGCCATCAGGCTAATAATGGGACTTCCCATTTTTACGCCCCTAGGTGAACTACAACAGAACGCAGGAATGAACCAGATCCTATAGCAGGCGCAGAACATGGCTCACTTCCAAATGCTCGAGAGAACAAACCACGGCAGAAGACTGCTCGAAATCATTAGCTACGAGGCAGAGGGGAGACCCCTACTGGAAGACCCTGCAGAGCCACCGTGGCAACACATAACCATCGTCAAGCATCGGCCCACGCCTAAAGCACACATTCAAGAGGGCAGAGGGCGTGCAGCAGCAAAACATACCAAATTGTGCGAGGAACACGCACACGACAAATTAGATACGCAGACGCAACTAAGAGCGAAAACATCGTGGCCGCTGCTTGGGTCTACCCCAAAAACAAAAAGGGACGGCACCATGAGACCACCCGAGAACTCCAGGTGTTAGGGGGCGGCTCACCCAAACAACAAATTATGGCACACAAACGCTAAAATACAATATTCTTAATTTACAATGTTTTTTGTAGATCTAAACATTTTGATTTAAGCTAAATGTCAATAAGAGATATTAAATCACTGATTTTTATGGACACTGATAATTATTAGTTGCGATTACCGTCTTTGTGTTTAATCTCTGCTTAATTTTTTTTACAGTGACTTTTAGTGACTTTTGTATATTGTTTCTTCCTTATATGTCAACTTCCTGTATCGCGTTTTTCGCTGTGCACTGTAGGCCGACTTGTGCCGCTACATAAAAACTTTAATGGATTACAATGACAAATTACCGACCCCCAAACATAATGGATTACCGTTATAAATTATTTTCGCTGTAAGGTAACGGAATACTTTACTTGTTGCATTACTAATTACTTTTATGATACTTTTCACGTGCACTTATCAAGAAATATTAGCAACGGATGTCTGGGCTAGTTGGCTAAAGAGCATCGTAGCTTTAGCAGGGACAGCGTGCTCCCACTTGGCATTGCATTGCAGAGACTCCTCCTGCCCACCTGTACTGGAGAAGGCCGTCGTGTTGTTTAGTCGCAAAGACCAAAAGGCACGGGAGATTGTCGAGGCTCTCAATACAAGAAAGGCAGGCCCAACCTGCGTGAGTCAGGCATCCTTGGCGCTCTTAGATTGCGAGATAGAATTTTTAGATCGGTGTGAGGCGTGTGCACTACGTCACTGATTAGACCAAATTTTGTGAAAGCGCCAAGAAATAAAAAAAAAAAAACCTTTGTGATGCGCGATTGCGATCGCTTCTTGAGTAGAGGGTCATTTTTGTTTGTTTTCTTCTTGGTTTCATGAAAATAAAACCGTTCATTGTCAGTCAGCGCTCGTGTCGTCCAGTCGTTCTTCCTCCTTGTCAGTCGCGTTGTTTATATTATGTAGAATATTAGAAACAATTTTTTTTCGATGTTCTGCAACACTACTTGCCATTTCTCATGTGCCCGTATTATGTTAGTCCTTGTAAGAATAAAATATTGTATCTAATGGTGAATTCGGTTCGTCGTTTCATTCCTCTGACCTTGATAGCTACTTGAGATCCTTTTCAGTCGATCACAACTGCCGGGCTAAGAGAGCTCTGACATTCTCGAACCAGCCACGGGTAAAACGTTTTGACATTGGTAAGGTATAAAAAAAAATTTTGCAGCGTATGATGGACGACTGAACAAAATTTACGCTCGCAACGTGATGAAATAACATATAGCTGTGACGGACTGTAAACTGTTCTACGCATCAGCATGTTATAAAAGCATTTAACAAAAAAAAAACCAAAAAAAAAAAAAACAGAGCAGCATGAGAATCGATTTCGCAGAACGGAACGAAAACTAATGTTTGGAAAAAGTTGTCAACTCATCGCGTTTCAACAGTGAACGCGCTGCGATAGCGGTCATGTGTACGGCAGAACTGGCAAATATTAAATGGTTAATAAAACGCATTTTTCTCACCACGGAATATTGTGCATGCAAACATGACCCACGGGACATAGCACGTATCGCCATGTGACACAAATCACAGTGCAGTATAGTCGGCTCTCCCATTATATTAAAACACAAACCTTTGAACGCGTCTTTACCAAACCTGAAAATCCCTTGAAGGGTTTACAAAACCCGGTAAAACAGCGACGAGCTCTGGGAGCGGTTTCGTCATCGGTTAAGCTTATCGCGTTTACCACCGTGAGATGAACGATATCGTAAAAGCGCTAGGAATAACTCCCCACGTCGAGTTTTCCTGCCACGGTAATAAGCGAATGCCATCCCATATATGCTGTAATCCTCGCACCGTCGAACGCACAAGCACTTGGTAGAACCAGATATTTATCGCCGTCAATCCGGACCCCACGACCACCGGAGACCACTGCCGCACATCAACAACAAAACCACGTGATCCCCGTCCATCTACCACGTGAAACCTGTGCCGCTCCGCACTCCGATGGCCAGAGACGGAGTGCTAGGGAGCGCTCTGAGAGGGAGAGGCGCCCCTAGAAAGAACCAGCCGATCAGGCCACCGCACTCCATTTCCACCACCCGATCTCGCACGCTCTAGAAAGAGCGCTCGAGAGCGCGCAGAAAGAACCATGCGAATTCGCCATATGACAAAGAATGTAGGTGCACTCTGTTAACCTGTAAGCTGACAAGAGAGCGAAAGCTGCAACCAGACCCGCTATCCCGCTAGCTAAGGCGACCGCAAAAGATCGCTGAAATTCTGCAGACAACGTTAGCGGTGCGCATGCTCAGTAGCAGCGTCTACCTCCGCTAGGAGATCAAGACAACGCCAGCTCGGCGTTGCATTTTTGTTTTCGGCATATTTGTATGTGCATTGCACGCTTTTTCTAGTTTAGTACCCGGTCATACAAGAAAGCGTTTTTTTTTTTTTTGTTATTCTCAGTTTCACTGTGTTTGCTGTTGTTGTTGTAGTTGTTTTTGGTTGAACTTGCTATTTTTATGCTGCTGAATTGCCTGCTCATATTGCTTCACTTTCAGTATTGTTATTTTTTTAAGTAACGAGTAATTGAAGTTATCCGTTACCAATATTTGTAACGCAATTACATTGCAAATTACGGCCGCAAAAACGTAACGATGCAGTTACAAGATTACTTGAAAAAGTAACGTATTACTTCCCAAGTCTGGCCGTATAGGCGGACGGACACGTCAGGCAGCCAATGCAGTTGGTTTTCTTGATCGCCGCCATGAATTAATGATGGAAATAAAGCATAATCTTTTTTTTTTTTTTAACGGCTACAGTCTGCTTTTTATCGTTTTCATGAGCATTTGTGACCTTTGGCCTCGTACGCCACGATAGAATTTACAGTGATTTTGCAATATTAAATTAATTCCCAGTTGCTCGAGTTTCGTAATTGGATTATGGGTTCGCGGCATCAGGTAGGTTCTGCATCGGAAGTTACTGGCGGCAGCGTGCGGTCGCAGTTTTTGAGGACGAAGGCCTGACGAAAGCATATCCTTGGCCAAAACAGATATTGACAGCCACCGTTTTTTCGGGCTCTCAATAAAGTTCCACGCGGAACTGTGAAACTAAAATCAATAGACCTTTCGCTAACTTACCCGAAAGATCAAAGGGAATGCTGGGAACGTAGGTACACGCACTGCACGCGCTCGCCTCCTTTATATAGAAGACCTAAACACCCAAGATAAAGCTTTTGTGCAAAGTGCCATTTGTCTTCGATTTTTGCTTTCGAACAGTTAAAGCGGCAGACGCCAGCACGCGCAGCGCGAGTACCTACGTTCCCGGCATTCTCTTTGATGCTTGGGTCATTCGGAAAAAGGTCTATTCTTGGCGTTTTTTAACAGATACTGTTAGTGGGCGGCCACAGGTATACAGGAGAGCGGGCAAAGCATGCAGTATTGGGCTCAGCTACGCGGACACGCGAGTGGCAGTGTATCCAATCGCCGTCCTCTGCGATGTGACTGCATCTCAAGGCTGCCGAAGGCGGGGGTTAATACGAGTGTAATTATTTCCTTGTGTCTTTTAAAAAGAAGATTCATATCGTTAATATCCACGTAGCATCAAATCATCAAAAGCGGGTGTGCGCCACATTTTATGGACTTCGGCTGGCCTACAGACTGAGTGCACTCGCCTACTTATAGCTGCAGGTCTCCGGCACAGCTAGTGCACTTACCAGCTATCAAAGTGGCTGCATGACAACAAATATTACAAAACATTGCTTCAATTCATTCATACCACAGGCCTTGTAGCATACATCTAAATCATTTATGCCTCAAAACAACCCATCTACATAAAAAAAGATGCGTAAGATGCTTTCAAAATATCAAATTCGAGCAAATTTATGCTTTCTGTTAGGATCTTGCTTCCGCGTTCACCACGTGGGCATTTATTTTTGTAAACGAGAGGAAATGTAATCTCCGTCTCGTCGTTATTGTGTATGCTAAGCGTCGCAAACATTTGAGCCACATGCGGCGTCGGTGCTTGGTGGCATTGAAAGATGATTTGCCTTCTTGAAATACTTAAGAAGAACAATATTATTACAAGAGATCTGTAACGATAAGCTTGAATCGATTAACAACTTAATTGCATGCCCAGTGCCAAAGACGCTTATACTGACAAGGAATGTTTTCAGTACGATGATGCTCCATGGTGATTTTGGCGCGACCGACCTTTTCGAACATCCGTGCTTCCGAAGTTTCGAAGATTTGATGGGACCTAAATGGCGATTGTCATCAGAACAGAACAGCCTATCGCCGCGAAAGGTTTTGGTCGTCTGTAGGTTCGTATCTGTTTGTATCCGGCTAGCAGGCGGGGAAGGCAATAGAAAGTTTTAGTAGATCGTTCCCATGACTCCGATAACGATACCCGATACTCCGCCACCGCCTCCCTTGCGCATGCATAGTACCGTTATCGGGGCTATCGGAGGTATCGGAACGATCTACTAAAACTCTCTAATGACGGAACTTTCCCAAATAATGCACGAAGACGTCAGTACCGGTACATTGAGTACGATGCACATCGGTTCTGCAGCACGAGCTGTCGCTCCACAACTTCCTAACTGTGATGCGCAAAAAAAAAAATGTATTAAAAAAAAAAACATACATATACTCGGTCACCGGTTCTCTGCTAGTTACGTTACCTCAATACGCGTAGCATGTGAAATCTCAAAGCGTAGACGAAAAGAAAAACGATGATGGGCAACATCACGAGCTGTTCCAAAGATACGGCTATAACACGGCGATCCAGTCGGCAGATACTTCTGATAATACTCAGTCCTCGATACCAGCAGTGGTCGCCAACCAAATTTATGGTAACACACTTCAATTACTGTCGCTTATTCAGTGCATTACGACCGAGCGCTCTTTACGCAAATGCGCACACATCCTAAGGCGCTAAACTTTAACCGATCCCTGTTCAACGCTTTATAACGGGCGGGGGGGGGGGGGGGGGGGGGGAGGTTCCGGTTGAAACAACCAAGTCTTCCCTGTCTTGTCAGTGCGACTCATGGAAGACGTCTCGCGTACAAACATATTTATTCATGTCAAAGCATGGACAATGAAAAACACGGTTCCAACTCCACTCCCCTCCGAAGCCCCCAACTAGTAGAGCCTGCCCTTCGCTAAGCTAAGCTTCTTAACATAACGTCTAAGGCCTCCAGGAGCCTTTTTTTATGCTGAATAGACAATAGCCTTCCCGTTCCCAAGCCATGTCCGCGACATAAAACTGAAACGTATGCAGCGCGCCTTCTTGAAACCTCTGAAGACCGTGCCCTCTACCGGCGACGGCAAGCTCAACCCTGACACGACAGTGTCCGACCTGTTAAAGCGCTCGTTCAAGGAGAAGACTGACAGCGGCTTTCCCGAGACGGCAGCGCTGGCGGAGGACAACGCCAGCGCTAAGTCTTTGTCCGTGGCCGATGCCACCTGCCATGGCGTCGAGATCCACGGCATCTGCAGTCCAGTGCTCAGCGTGCTACGGCGCCCCGGTTGCGTGGTGGCCTTCTTCTGCAGCTGCGCGTTCATGCAGGGACTGATCACCAACGGGTGCGTCAACTCCAACCTCGCCACTTTCGAAAAGCGCTACCAGCTTCGCAGCGTCGAGACGGGCATCATCGGAAGCCTGTACAGCGTCTCATCGCTCTTGGTACGCTCTGATCAAATCATGCTTGGCGCCTTGTCCTCGTTTTACCTAATTTTACGTAACTGCGACAAAGGAAAAACATTTCCAAATAATAAAAATGGCCAAAAAGCTGTTCTTATGATTGCTGTCCAAAGGACAGCAATCGTGAGGCAATCATAATAATTTGTCCAGGGGACGCTACAGTTCAAACATTTGCTATGGACGTATACAAAGGTCTGGTGTAAATAAGAAGTGAAAAACATTTTCTACCGTACTTATTTACGCCAAGCTGGACAACGACCACAAGGGCAATCCTCTCATGATGTGTATGAGTATACCGTATAAATACAGCCTGGTACACACACACGCACAAAAAAAGAAAAAAGAAACTTCGTTCTTGAAAGGTTTTTTTCGACGCCCCAGATCTTTTTCAGCTCGTGAAGAACGGTTTTGCCTCAAGCATTATTGCCCTCTGGCGCACTAGAAAGGCAACTGGGCGATAAAGAACTCCTTCGCACCAAAACGAGGACCTTCTTACTGAGAACCGCTTATAAGTTTTTCACGAAGAACCCTTCTAAATTGTGTTTAAAATAACTTTTTAGGTTGCAAAATACGGACAAGCGAAGAACCCCTAAGAGTTCTTTTACGACCAGGTTTCTTTTTTTAGAGTGCAGGCAACGTCTCGTCGTTCTCGGTACGTCCATATCAGGTCTGGTTTCCTCTGCTCTTCTGTCCATTTCTAAAGTAACAAGCACTTGAAAACGCAAGTATTACAGGCGGGTTGTTCTTGTCGCTGTCGAGCTTGGTTTAAACGAGTATAGCAAGACGTTTTCTGCATCCCCATTTTTCACCAAGTTCGATACCTTTAATAAGGACGGACGTCTTGCAATACGGTAGAAGTACCGCGGGTTTTGTCCTTTATCAATTTTTTCATCGCAGGTATAACGTGCATAAATCACTGGACAATAAAATAAAATACACCGCGTGAAAAACTGGGTTCCAAAAATAATTCGAATGTAATCGGCTTACACGGTCGGAGATGGCACAATGAGACAAGTTCCCGCGGGTGGCGCTTTTCCAACAAACAGGATCGATCTCGCAACTTGTCCAAAGGACGCTACACTTCCTGCGTTATAGTTATCTGGGTCAATTAAACTCACATAGAAATGGTATAAATCTGGGAGTACATCGCCTCTCCCCGAAGGTGCTCCTCCCGGTGACGTACTTCGGCCAGAACCGCAACAAGCCGCTTTTCATGGCCTTCGGGACGTGCCTGATGGGCGTCGGCTCGCTCACCATGACGCTACCGTACTTCCTGGGGCCGCCGTACTCGTTCAGCCATCCCCGACCGGACACGTGCGACCCGCACCCGAGCAACGACAGCGCCTGCAGCGGAGACGCCGGAGACCTGCGAAGCTACAAGTGGTTCTTCTGGATCGGGAACCTCCTCAACGGAGTGGGCACCTCTCCCTACTTCACCCTCGGCGTTGCCTATTTGGACGAAAACTTTCACAGGGCAGTCTCGTCCAAGTACATCGGTACGTGTACTGCAACCTGTTCAAGAGCGAAACTGGCCGGTTTTGCATATCCCTAACAAACCCCTTTACGACATTCTTAAGCGTCTTCTCCTCTTATATATATTCCATCACTCAAACTCCCGCAGTTCAGACTAGAGTCACAAGACAGGCTTCGCTTCAGAGTAGCGACAACCCATGATCCGAACTTCTTGTAGACGCTGCCATTTTAGTACTTAGTCCGGAGCGGGCGCAATAGACCGTTTCCCGTCTCTGAAATCCAGTGCCATCTGGTGACTTACATAGCTGTTTAAGTCTTGCCATACCCACGACCAGGGGCGGATTTAGAGAAGGTGTCCGGATGTCCTGACCCCCCTTTTGATTTCTGCATGTGTAAAATTTAGGGCGTAAAACGAAAGAGAGGGGGAGGGGGTTCCTAAACATATAGTACGCTGACCAACACCTGACCCCCCACCCCCCCTTCCAGGAAATTCCTGCATCTGCCCCTGCCCACGGCAGTAATGAATTTGTATTTTATCGGTCACAGTCACTTTCGCAAGTCAGCGGCAGACAAAAAAGTGTTCAATATGTACTTCTTTCTTGATCACTTTCAGTTTCAATTGTGACGAAGAAACAACCAGTGAGAACAAAGCTCCAGACCACGCAGATGCTTCGATACAATTCTAGCGCACCAAACGTCTCTAGAGCCGATTCTGTGCCAGCCACAGATTGACTGAATCTGAGTTAGAAATGAACGCTTACGTAGCTCTTGTGCTCGATTCCTACGTCGCATCGTACTAATCCTTCGAATGTGGAGGCCTTGCATCATCCGCTTAGGAGCATCTTCAATGTCTTCCTTTATCAGTCACCAGAAGGCCGCCATTGGGATGGCATAGATGCCGTTCCTCGAATGATGATAGGATTAAAGTGGTCAGAACTGAATTTCGGAAAGGGTCTATGGAACCTTTTCAAAAGTCCGAGCCAACGCTTGTCCGTCATTGCTTGATCCCATACTCTGAGCATGCATATGAACACGAGGCCCGCGTCATCGTTCGTCGTGAAATCCATGAATGGATGGATGGATGGGTGGATGGACGTTAATGGCTATACCCTTTGTAACGGGCGGTGGCTTGCGCCACCTAGCATAAGTCTAAAAAGACAAACATTTGATTCCTCCCGCCCTTCTAAACCAATTTTCTCCCCCTAACTATCACCAGGCAGTGTGGGATGTCCCCGAGAAATGGCGATTGCCAATGTTGCTTGATGGACTTTTGAAAAGGGTCTATTGGGGATCGTAACGATTCGAGAACGTCATACTTCCTCAGCTAAATATGAAGTGCCCGAAGCTCAGGCGATATCGTTGTGCTTTGACGCGGACTGCTAGATTTCTACAGGTCGTAAACTGTTTCCTGCGATTCCAGATAACGGCTCAGAAAGCTGGAACAACAAGATGTCTGAATCGTCGTTACTTCAAAGGGTAGCTTTTTTATGTGGCCTATAGTACACAACGCCGTCAAAGCTACTGGCGCAATCGCGTGATATCATCAAACGCTTCTTTCGGGCACGCTCTCTCGTGAATAGAGTTAACAAAACTTTATACACTGCGCGACACTGTTAGCGCGAACATGACAGCGGAGGTTTTTTGTGCTTCACTCATACATGAAAGTGACTAGCAATAAATATTACCGTTTGAGTTGATGCTTAATAGAGAGTTTTAGTAGATCGTTTTCAAAGGCCCGCTACCGCTACGAGCGCGCGCTTCAGAGCATGCATCGAAGTGGCAGCGCGAGCTCCCGCTACGATTAGCCTGGCCTGAAAACACGATCTACTAAAACTCTCTAATAACACAGTCCACTACACTTGTAGCTTCGATTCTGCAACATCTGCACAAAAAAAAACTAAAAAATTGTTTATTTTTCGTTTATGCGCTGTCGCGCTCTGTACAGTACATCATGTAAGAAACAAACTATCATTTAAGTCAACATATAAACAGAAAGACCATAAACTATCATTTAATTCAACATCTAAACAGAAAGCCCTTCGATATGTTTCCGTTTGTCTTGCAAGAAGCATCAAATGTGCGAGCGCACGTGGCCCGTGTCTCGAGCGGCCATTATGAGCAAATAGCGGCGCAGCACTGAAATGAGCGACCCTTGGAAGCGAATAGCGGCGGAGCACCCGCTCTTGGTACGTGCCTCGGGCGTTTCCACAACAATGGTTGGCGGTACTTGCAAAAAACGCCTTTATCAAGGGGCTTTATCTAAACCTCCTCTGGAGCGCGTGCCCGTAGCAGTAGCGGTGGGCATATGAAAACGATCTACTTCGTTTCAGACTACGGTGTGGTCCAAACGCAGCAGGTGCTACAAGCGCGAGCATGTGGCCTCCTACAATGCTTGCACCGAACGAGAGTGCGTGCTTGGCAGGGACGCTGAAAGCCCGGAGCTCGTGATGGTAGCATCGGTTGCGTCTGGACTAAAACTGAAACGATTTCGAAGCATGGATTGAGCACACAACCGCGGCCCGCTTTCCGCAGCGTACGGTCTAAAAACGGTCAACTGCATATCTCTAATCAGTTCAACGTGCTTGTGCTTTTGGCATTAACCTCAGCAATGTTGGTTTTAGAGCAGTTTGTGAAAACAAAATTGCAGCTGCTTTTCAAGCCAGTGCGGTGGTTGGTCCGGCGACGGGGTTCGTCCTCAATGGACACTTCCTGAAATACTACGTCGACCAAAACGTCAACCCCGAACTGTGAGCACCCATTTTGATTGTTTTTATTAATTATTACTTCGTTTGACAAGCCAATTTATTTAAAAGTGAAGCACGAGGACGAAGAGACCAGCTCAACATAATACAGCCCGTTCCCATTAAGTCCGTTCCCATTATAGTGCTGACATATCAAATTCAAAATTCAGCTGGAATGACCCGTATAAAAAAAAATTAGAAATAACTCGTTTCAATCGGTCATATGAACAAGCGTGGCTTTTTAGAAGGACAAATAACGACACTAATAAAGCACAAAAACTGCAGGCTGTACCAATTGATAATCTGATACATTATTTAATTGATCAAGTAGCACTGATTAATCAATTAAAAGTTTTATTCGTCTCGCAGTCTTGGTACTAACGTTCTAACGCGTTTTCGTGTTCCATTAGAACCTGTTGGAAAGTATAGTTTTAAGGTATTGCTGGCTACAGATCGTAAAGTACGGAAACGAAATTTCAGCGTCAAGTTTTTTGCATAAATATGGGGGACAAGCAGCACCTCTGAAATATCAATATCGAGCTGTAAAACACAGGAGAACTAATTTTAAGCCTAATGAAACAATTTTAAATTCACATCTGGTGGATGGTGTGAAAGTTTTCGTGACATCACTTGTGGCATAGCAGCAGCGCCGTTCTGCGGAAATACGGCGCGCCGGCAGAATTAGCTAAGGCCTGAACGCGTTTGCAAAGCCTTGGCGGAGAAAGCCAAAGCGTAGTTGGCCACAGTGATCTCGTTCTCGTTGCGGCTCTTTGCACGACACGACGCGAGCACGCTTCTGGTTCTGAAGGTTTCCAGCTGAACGTAGAGGGAAAAAACCAAGGAGTGGAGAAAAAGAGACAACACACTGCTGGACTATCAATCATTCACTGGAATTCTTCTTTTTCATCTACCCTCATGAAGATACAGTTTTTTTTTTTTTTCGGAAATAGCGGAAACACAAAAAACCAGCTTGCAAGGGAAATCCTGGAGCCTCTGGGTATTGAGGCGCACGGGGAGGACTGCGTGAGTGCCGCCTCCGTTGCGCTATTTCCGAAAGAAAAACTGTATCTTGTGGGAGCGCCCCATGTGAGAAACCTAGTCAGGAACATGTGAACGCTAGCCACCAAATATCATACCGAAGAAGAAAAAGTTACCCCTGGGAACTCAATAGTATAATTCACGATGGTAGATGAAAAAGAAGAATTCCACTAAATAGTATAATTCATGAGGGTAGATCACTCCCCCCCTCGCCATTGCTGGCTACTAACGGTTATTTCTATTTACCGGTTCCCTCGAGCTACTACTTTTGCGGTGTGAAACTAACACGGTGAACCGAACGCTCGTGGCACATAAAATACTGGTATGGTCCCGAACGAAGTTATGGGCAAGCTAGAACTTACAGTCCTCGGATATTACTACTAGGCGAGATCGTCACACATTGACGCTATCAAGCGGCGACGCTCGCAACCACGGTACCCTTGGCAGTGCAGGAACTATTGACGTCACCGGCGCGATACGCATTACGCTTCTCGCTGAGCGACTTTGAAGCGAAAGGAAGAGAGCTCGCGCTCACGTCACTTCGTTTCCGTACCCCTTTAAACGGCATCTTCCAGTATTACGAAATATACAACTGTGTCTCGTGTAAATGAGCTACCAACGAACGTTTTCGACGCTTCGATCGTGCAGGCTTGGCCTTAGCCGCGACAGCAGCGCCTGGGTCGGCGCCTGGTGGCTCTGCTTTCTGTACGCCGGCCTGCTCTGCTTCGCTGTCGCCTTGCCTGTTAGTTTTCTACCAGCGGAACTGCCAGGTCAGGTGCCTAAGATGGCAATCTATAGGCGCTCTCAAACACAATGTCCTTAATAGACTTCTATAATTTAGTGTCTTTGTGATTCAAACTTGCGGAACTTCACTGATGCTACAAAGATGGTAATTAAAACGTAACGAGCGCTATGTTTCACTATGTAAAATGAACCATTCAATTCCTGACGCTCATTCGACATAATATTCAGCGGTCAGTTCTTTTATGAATGTCCCTTTCCAATTAATTGCCACTTTGCGTTTCCTATTGCGGCCTGTCCTCTAATCTAGGTAATAGATAGCATGCTTACGCAGCAATACTAAAATTTACTTAAATAAGAGGAGTGTTATCGAACACCGACACCAGGAAACCGAGGCGCTTGATGTATACAAATCGATAGTGACGCCACCTTCCCCATTTGCTTGTAAACAAGCATTTGCTGGGTTGCAGAAACCAACCAGCGGTTAGCGCGGCACGCAAGAGGCACTTTCCCGCTGCATTTATCATCTTTAACGCTCAACGTCCCAAGTAGACCACAAAGCCGAGTTACAAATCGATAACAACAACACCATGCACTTGCCGCGTGCACAGCTTCTCACAGAAATCTGAGTTCGGACACGACACTCCTCCATCAAGTAGCACTCTAGCGATGATTCGTAGAGGAACTTAATATTTAACCCACTGGAAGGATGAGAGGGCGTATTTTTCTGATTCCCGGTTTCCGGCACTAGTTCGTTGCCCTCCGTCGTGCATTGGTTGCGCTTGCCCGCTTGGAGCTCACAAGCATAGCCTCCTATATACTGACAAAGCCTGGCAGATCGCCATGAGAAGCGGCCGCCGAAATGGAAAAGGTGGAGCGGCAGACAACGGATAAGAGGAGAGCAACGTGACTGCAGCCCCGCTGCGGCGAGACGTCGAAACCAGGGTGTAAGATAGACAGGTGGGGAAACGGCCCATAGGAGCCTACCGCAGCGCCGTGACCGGATTGTGTCCTCGTCTGCTTGCGGGTACCCCCGAGTTGCGACAGATGGCGCTGCGGCGAGAGGAAAAAAATCGGATTCGGATTTGCATGGAACTCTATGGGAGAGTGCGCTGTGTCAGCGACATTTTTTTTGTTTAAACTAATGTTAAAAACGTTTATCAGGACATAATTAATATATAAGCACCTACAGAGATCTCGGTTGACTTTAAGTTGACTTTGAAGCAGGAAACTTGCGTTTTTTAGGCGGCGCAAGCGGAAGGAAGTCTGGTAACAATCATTTCGGACTTTTTCTTTTTCTTTTTTCTTTTTGCGCGCGTAGCAGAAGTTTCGTTTTGGCGCCTGGAGCGCCTGGAGCCCCTGGAGCAGCCCTGGAGCCGCCAAAGTTTAAGAACCTTTTCGCGCTTTTTATTTTTCTCTTTTTTCTTTTTGCGCGCGTAGCTGAGGTTTCGTTTTGGCGCCTGGAGTACCTGGAGCCGCCAAAGTTTCCGAGGTATGGGCCGATACTGTTGCGTTCCGAATTGTCGGTCGGGTTACGGCCCGAAGAAAGAGAAAGCCATCATATTTAATGCACCGGCTGATCCTGAGCGATTAGCTGCATGGAACCGAGCTGTGCCGCAAATGAAGCGCGAGCTTCGAAGTTCGGACGGAATTTGTGAAAAACATTTTCCGAGCCACATGCTCTCGTCCAGAGCGACCCATATCGAGTACAAGGGTCGTGTACTTCTGCACGTACCGAAAAGACCAAGGCTATCGCAGGATGCAGTGCCCTGCATTTTTTCTGGAGACCTCGACAACCGGATGGCGCGCAAGGCAAAGAACACACGGAAACCGCCTGCTCGACGGTCACATCTCTCTTCTTCAGAGCGTCAAAGGCATCCCAAATCTGATGGTCCGTCTACGAGTGCACTACCGCAATGTTCTGGCGATCCAACAGCTGACGCACCAAACACAAGCGCGCTTCACAACAGCGTGGAGCCTGCACCAACTACGCCGTCCATAAGTGCGCAATGCGATGACAACACGGAACGTCCTGCCGCCGAAGTACGAGCACAAAGTCCAACTCATGACATTTCTCAGTATACTGCGGCGCCCTTTGTACAGGAAAGCTGTTTTCCTGAAGATGAGGTGCAAGGCAGCGAAGAAACGTCCCAAGGCGCTTGTGATCATCCTCTTTCTTTTTCTGAACTTTTTGAGAAGCCACATCTCGTCGACCTTCCAGGGAAGACTTGGGCTGTCCACACCATGGACTATGCTGGGGTGCAGGCAATTGACTTTTCCACCATATGCCCAAAGGTTGACACGTCACAACCTCGCATATTTGAGAGGGTACTCTCCATCTCACCAGAACAGGGCGGAGGTTTGTCAGTCAACACATTTGTCTGGGGAAAAGCTGTATCCACAAACTTGACCATCGACGGCATCAAGATCGCAAGTGTCCGTGACCTGGCACATGCCCTGAAAGTGCTTGATCGGCTGGTGCTGTGTTCTGGTGGCCCTATGCACAAGGACTACCCTCAAGTTCGACCAGAATGTGCATTCGTCGACCTGCGTGATGTGTGGCGACATAACCGATGTACCTTCGTCACCAGCACTGATGGGCAATGCCCTGCTTGTCGCTCACTAAAGAACACGCTTCGCATCCATGCTGCCAGACTAGAAAAGAAAAAGGCAGCCCACAGCACTAAGCTAAGGCTTGTCACATTCAGTCCAGCGAAAAAGGCAAAAGTGGAGCAACTAAAAAAAGCCAGGATCGCCTGCAGAAGGTCCCGGCTGAGACTTTTCAAGTCCAGACAGAAGCTTCAAGAGGAGCTCACTGGCTGCTGGCAGAAACTGCATGATGTGCAGCAGGACTCGCTTCACGAACTACTTGCTGCAGCCAACCTCTCCAATGCGCAGCTTTCGGTAGTGGAAGAATGCATAGCTGCAGCGAAGTGCAAGTCCAAGCGGCAGCGCAGATATGACGACAATTGGTTGCTGCTCTGTCTGCTGCTCCACATCCGCACACCTACGGGCTACCGGTTTCTCAGGGAAAATGACATTTTGCCTCTGCCATCTGTAAAGACTGTCCGAAAGTACATATGCATGGTTGGCCTCAAGTGTGGATTCGACCAGGACTTCTTCCTAGCTTTGAAGATCAAATTGCAGCACAAAGCGGAGTCTGAAAAACATGGCATTCTGATATTTGACGAAATTCAAGTAAGGAAGAGCAAAGCTGTAAATTCAAGAACCATGACGTACACTGGTATGGTGGATGATGGAGAAAACACTCAGAAAAGCAGCGAACTGGCAGACCACGGCCTTGTGTTCATGTTTTGTCCGCTTGCTGACAGCTACGCACAGCCGATCGGCGTCTTCGCATCACGCAACTCCACCAGGGGAACTGTCCTTGCCCAGTTGATGCTACAAGCCATCCTACTCCTAGAAGAAGCTGGAGCAAAGGTTCACGGGATCGTCTGTGATGGTGCAAACACTAATCGATTCATGTGGACGGAGCTTGGTATCAGCGGCAGACAAGAACACTTGTGCCACTCATTTGAACATCCGGTTGACCCAGAGCGAAAAATCTACGCATTCTCGGACACTCCGCACCTCTTCAAATGTATCCGTAATCGTCTGGAAAAGCAAAAAGCATTCAAAATTGGAAGTGAATGGGTCAAGTGGGCGCACTACAAGGCTCTCTTCCATCAAGACCAGCTGGTGCCTGGAGACCTCAGGGTGTGTCCCAAGCTCACAGTGGCGCACATTTACCCATCCCAAACAGACAAGATGAGGGTGAAGCTGGCAACACAGGTATTCAGTGCCAGCATGGCAGGAGGACTCAACTACTACCAGGAGCAAGGTATTCCCGAGTTGGTGGACTGTGAAGGGACCATCCACTTCACCATGCGTCTGAACAACTTGTTTGATGCCCTGAACAGACGCTACCCCGCTGAGGGCCTGAAGCCTGACTGCAGTGACCTGCTGACCATCAAGAACGCAATCACATGGCTAGATGACTGGCAAGCAGACCTAGAGCATGGCCACATTCCCAGGGAGCTCTTCCTCACGAACAGCACTAGCGAGGGGCTCAGAGTCACCCTGCACTCAACACTTGAACTATGTAAGCACCTGCTGGAGAACTGTGGATTCGCCTATGTGCTAACAGCGAAGATGAATCAAGACCCAGTGGAACGTTTCTTCGGGAAAGTGCGACAAGCTGGCTGCCAGAATGACCACCCGAGCATGCCAACCTTTCTCCAGTTATACAGACTTCTGTCGGTACAGTGCCTGCTGCGGCCACCGAAGTTCGGCAACTGTGAGGTCCTCGAGTCGGAACCTCCCATGCTGTCGTTCACAGAATTCAAGGCCGTATTCCAAGACAACGAACCAACACAAGCACTGCCCATTGTCGAACTTCGAGAACGACTTGATGGCTTGATCTCAACAAGCGAGTGGGAGTGCGACGACCTGATCCCTAATGACGATGACCAGGTGGAGGTTGTTGACTGCATTATCTACTACATAACAGGATACCTCTCCCGAAGGCTCAAGAAGTTCACAAATTGCACCACATGCCTTCGCGCACTATCCACAAGTCAGCTGGAGGCTCCGGTGGCAAGCTTGACCATCTCTAAGGACAGGGGCCGCTTGACTCACCCGAACATTCACCTCTTTGCCCTCTTGCAGGCTGCAGAAGGGCATTTCAGAGATCATCGAAGTGAGCATGATGTCTACTGGAGCACAATAGATTTTGTGATTGAAGAATGCCCCCTGTACTTCCCATGCGAAGAGCACAAGACTGACATGATCTCCACAATCCTGCATTATTACATCGGAATGAGGATGCGGCAGTGCTGCAAGCAGGACAGCAGAAACATGAGGAAAGAATCCCAAAACAAAAAAAAGCAGGCACGGCAGTGCTCCACCTAGCCTCTCAAGAAATCACCTAGAGCATTCAAGGAAGCCTGTTCACATCTGGCTATTTGACTTCGCTTCTGCTCAACCCTAGCCTTGCGAGGCCAGTCCTTGGCATCTACAACACTTGGAA